AAGGACAGAAGGCTAGCCATGGGGCATACGCAATGTTTCAAATGTTTGCCAGTTGCTCCCCAGGAGCTGTGGAAGATTTACAGAAAAATCTTAACAATCTTTATTCCACTTGGCATGTGCTCAGACCTTGAAGAACTAGAAAAAGCATGAAGGAAACAATTAATACTGTAGGTTTATACTCTCAAAAGGAAGGTATCTTGAAATCGTTAACAGGAATCATTGACCCTTCGAATAGAGCTCAGTATAAGAAAAATTAATGTCAGCCAAGGACAGTCACTGAGTCTAGTCACCTGCTTAGAAACTATTCTCCTTTAATGTTATCAGAGACACGAGCTGGTATTTTTCTCATCCCTGAAGTTATTCAGGGAACAGGAGCAGGAGCCTTCCTCTTCACTTAATGGGCTCAGGTTTTTACCTCCTTGAGAAGTCTCAAGACTTGTTCCATAATTATGCATTTTCACCGATAAAGGACTCCTCACCAGCTTTTCCAGGGTAAATGCTTACAGGGTCTCCACACACAACAGCAAGCTGGATTACGAGTTCTCTGATCTGACCATCAGTGGAGAAATTGTCGAGGACAGAGCAGCTCCTCCCACCTTGATGAACGCTTATACCCCTCCACTTCATTGACTTTAACCACTGCGAGGTTATGGGACGGTGGAGAGGGCCCAAGAGCTCTTCTCCGGGAATTTGGAATGAGGATCAGGAGAGCTTCTGAATCACTTCCCATGGCTGGAACTGTAGCCTGTTAACTCAGAAGCTGTTGGCTGCCCTATGTCCCATCATGAGATGCAGAGGAAGCTGGTCTGCAGAGACACACGGGGAGGGAAGCCGACCACAGGGACCAGAGAGGAGGGAAGAGGAGCAAGCAAGAGGTGTCTGGGTCACCTCCTGAAGACCCTAGGTCTATGAGACTCTCCTGAACCTTTATAATACCATCCTCCTTTTAAGCTGATTCAAACCAATTTCTCTTACTTACAGTTTTGAGAGGAGAAACTACAGAGTGGCCTGGGCAGTTAATCTCTTTATCTTTCAGTTTCCTCATCTGTGCAATGAGAATCATCATTCACTCATTCATTTAACAAATATTTATTGAATACTTCCTCTGTGCTAGGCACTGTTTTAGGTTCTGAGAAAAATAGCTGGAAACAGAAGAGATTAAAAAAAAATTCCTTCCTTTATGAAACTTCCCTTGTACTATAAAGTTCTCTGAGAATAAACATATGAGAGAAGACATAAACTTCAAATCAGGTACCAGCCAAAGGGCTGGCTGATCTGGCAGACAGAGCACAAGCCCCAAGTCTCGGATATGTACAAGAGGGCCAGGGCCATTTAAAAGAAGACACAGTCTTTTTGGTTTTAAAATAAAATTGGATTAAAAGGGTTCAGCCTTTCTACAGTGGCTTTTCTTTTACATCTTGGTGCATCTGCCAAAGGCCCCTTCTTATATTTTGCTGGTAGGCACCACACTTTGGCAAAGTCTCCAGATACTGTGGTTTCCTACTTGCTTTGGTTGTGGGCAACTGTCAGTCTATTTCCAGTTATCATCGAGAGCAGCAGATAATATACGAAAGTGACAAATCAAGTTCACAGATAATTTTAAAATCTAACTTTAGTCACTCCTCTCTTACTCAGTTATTTATTGAAACTACTTAGGAAGCTTGAATTAACTGATTTGGTTCTATCTTCTGTTGCTTCCTCTGGTAAAGCTGCAAATGATCAGACTGAAGACCAAAAGGCAGGCAGCAGGAGGGAGAAAACAAAGAACGTGGATAATCTGCATGATCAACGCCCAACTCTCAAACGATCTAGGAAATTAACTGTGTAAGGGCTGGGTCTTCCATATTGTCTGACCCTCATACCTAGGCTGAAACCTTTTTACTTTGGGCAAAATATCCATAGTTCTTAATGTAAAATCAGGAATGAAAGCACTCTTTACTTCTTTTCTTATTGTCTTAGTATAAATACAATGCAGCAATTCTTATATAATAACGGACAAACAACAATACTTAGCACTTTCAACTCAGGTAGCCCTTCTCAGCTTCCCAACATTCCTTCTAGAGATTTGAAGTTTGTCATCATTAGCCAACCGAGTGGGTAGAGATTTCCAATAAAGACAGAAAATCCATGTTATGCAATGTCTCAGCCAGAAGTGGTGACAATTATTTTATATTTTTTACATAGTCCATGCCTCAAGTGCCTCTCCATCTCCCCTCCAAAGTTGATGAAAAAATTCATTCCTGTGTGTATGGGCATGCATTAGTACGTGTGCACACATCCATATGCCCACCGCCCATGCACACACATACATACACACACTGAGGTTCTTCCGAAATATATGTAACCAGTGTAAGTAAAGGCTGACAATGCATCAGAGCCTGTTTTAAGATGAAGATGACTATTTCTTTTTTTTCTTTTCTTTTTTTTTAGAGAATTTTTATGTTTATTTGAACTAAAATAGACCACAGTTGCAGGAAAGCAAGATCCCAAATGCTCTGAAAATGACTATTTCATTTTACCCTTTCAGGACGGTGTGGCTCTCTGCTCCAGAAATAGGCTTCTTGATAAACTACTGCAACCGTGAGATCTCTGTCTCATGGAGCAATCTCAACCACAGATGTCTTGCTAGTTCCTAGAACTCCACGGGATGACAAAGCTTAAATAAGATAATAATGATTTAAGATAGGAAGCAGGGCAGAATTTCAGAAATAATAATAAATTTAGGATTTTAACATATATAGCAAGTTTTGTTTTTCACCTCAAAGAATGGAGAATGGATAACCACTAAATGAGTTCTCCAAATTAGGATTTCAAATCCAAGTTCTTAAGGGTTTCGTCAGAATGCCTTTATAAAGAACCCAGGCCTGCCCTGATCTTACCTCGGGCTCTGACTGCCTTCTGACCTTCCCATCTCTTTTTAAATGGAGACAGTCAGGCATACTTTTCTAATTTTATCTTGAGGACAAGGTGAATACATGCAGACAAATAGCTAAGCAAATATTGCCTTGTTATATTCATAATGGATCTGCAGGCTCCCTCTACCAGTCCCAGGCACAGAACAGAGGTGAACATCCCAGGGCAAGTCACTTCTGCTCTGTGCCACATACTCTTTCTCGTCTCATCAGAAAGGCTTCCTGGGATGACTATAGCCAATGCACAATCTTTCAACTAGAGTACATAATATATTTCAGGTACTAGGGAATCCTGCACAGGGTGGTCAAGGGCCCTGGGTTGGGAATCAGGACCTGGCTGCCTGTCTCCTTGCTCATCTTGGGCTAGCTGTAATGACAAGAGACTCAGTGTAGTCTCTGGATCACCAGCATGTAGTCTCAGGTCCTTGTTAAAGGTGCATATAGCAGTCCTAACCCAAACCAACAGAATAAAAGTTTCTGGTGCTGGAGGGCTAGGACTCTGCATTTTTACAGCACACTAAGGTTCGGGTCTTTATCTGGAAACCCAGGAGCTGGAGAGCTGACTGTCACGTTCTCTCCCTGCTCTAACATTCTATGGTTCTGGGCAGAAGCTCCTTTTTTCAGGTTGGTCTCCATGTTCTCTAGCCACATTCCTACAGCATTATCGGTCACTTCACAGGCAACTGTCAAATCACCAGGATTTAACGAGCATGTGACAATTACTATAACTTCATTCCGACCTATTTTGAAAATTAAGTACTTCCTGACCCTGGTTGTCAGTGGATGCAACAATCACATTAGTATTTGAACATATGACTTGCTCCCCACATCAGAAAGGAAATATTCAATATTTACTCTATCCCCTTGCCATGGCTCTGGAGGAAAACCTCGACACAATAGGGATGGTCCATCTCCCTTCAAGAACATAGAAGTCACTTCTAGGATAGTGGACAAGTCACTCTCAACTAATTTCCAGTGGTTTCTAAGGATGAATTGGCTTTCAGCTCTTAAACGCTCTGAGCACCTGACATAAGGTAACTCCACGCTCTCCACAACAGTGATGTGGCAAAGAGCAATGATGTCAGCCAGTGTTTCACAACCTGTTGATCTGTGTGACCAGTTAGTTTATTTGGTTAAATGCCAACTAACGAAACCAAGGACGTGGTTTCGACCTTTAGTAGGCCAGCTGATTTGAATCACTTTCTTTCATCTTGAATCACTTTCACTCATCTTGAAAACGTCAACCAAAGGAGTCTGAGTAACAGTGTGAGGAACAGTTACTGGTAAAATAAACCTACATCTGATGTTTTTTGATGTTGGGTCAGAAGGTTCCTCTTTAGACACTGAAGATACAGGTAGTATACATGGCCATGGTCACCCTCAGGCAGAATCTCTTTTAGATTGTTTTTGCAATATCATTTACTCATTATAACCCAAGTTAATTCCATAATTTCATTATTTCCTCCCAAATGTTTCTAGAATAAAACCAGTGTCTTTATGTAGTTACTGGCTCACCTGCAAGCTGGTCAGTCCAGTGCAGCCTGGACCAGTGTCTCTCCCAGTAACTCCTTCCCCATTTTCTAGGCTATAACATCTCCCTTCCTAGATCCCTGCGCTCTGCCTTACTCTCTCTCCTGGCCCCAGCTACTGGAGTCCAAAACTGGAGTTGGCGATAGAGAGGAGCCTGCAGAGAGCATCACCCTCACCTGTGCTTTTACCAAGGACCCAGTAAACAAACCAGGGCGAATTTGATAGGCTGTGAATGGAGGAAGAAGGGAAAGGGGAAGGCAAATGTAAGGTTTCAACTTAAATCTCTGAATTCTTTTGTGCATAACAAATAGTAATGTTAATACTTACCATTTGAAGAGTATTTAGCCCTTGGGGACAGCATTTAAATACATTATCTTATTCAATTCTCATAAGTTCTCCTGTCTTGTCACTGATCACCACACTAGAGCTCTGAAAATCTCAATTTCCTTACCCTCTTCCATATATGTACCCTGTAGCAGGGGTCTAGGGATTAGGTAAAAAATCAGAGGAGACTCGTGAAAGCTAATCGTGTGTCCAAATAAGGAAAGGGAAAGAAACTTCAGTAAAGGGTATTTAATGTCAGAGAGAAACTGTACATGTGGGGCAGAGATGAAGAGACCACAGCAGGCCAGCCGAGCCCGACCTAGCTACGCATCCTGTTGTTCGTGAGGCCTCCCTTGATGGAGGAAGTGACAGCAGCAGCATCACAAGTTTCTTCTCCCTGTGTGGGAGCACAGTGCAATGTTCACTCAGTCCAGTTATGCGCCTGGCTTTCTGCAGCTCAGGCACAAATATTCAGTTCGTGTCTTTCCTAACACGGCAGGCTAAATGACCTCCTTTCCTCCTGGTGCAGGGAACTTCTGGCAGGAGCTAGTGAACTGTGGAAGAAGAGTAATTCTCATTGGTAAGACAGGGCCAGGAGTCTGGGGAGGTGCAGGTCTTTTGTAGTCACCGGACAGAGATGACATCGGACCCCGCCTCATTTCTGTAAAGGATTCGGCAAGTATGCACACAAATAAAAAAGTAGGAAGGCACCGGGCCTCTCACAGAACCAATCAATATTCTGGGCAAGATTCTGAAGACTTCAAGGTTTAGGCTGAGTTCCTGTCACTTTCCTCGGGGCCTCTTGGCCCATTGGCTGGGGTTACAGGGCAGCCATCTACCTAGCAAAGACTCCAGACTTTCAGACAAAATCATCTTCTCCATCTAAGCACCGCCTCTCTCCAGGCCATAGACAGCGAAGGTTTTCAAGTCCCTACATCCTGAGAGTTCCCACCAGAGGGAGGGAAAAAAAGACCTTTGTCCCACCCACTGGGAGTTGAGAACCAGCAAAGTCCAATCCTCAGAGATCTCCAGCGTCTCTTAAATAAGCTTTTCCTTTCCATTTTCTTCTTTTAATTATTTATCACCCATCCATTCATTTATACAAATATAAAATATATTTTTATAGATTTATATAATATAAACTTCTGTGAGGCAGAGTGGAGAAGAGGGCCAGGAGGGTGGGAACCCCCCAGCTATTTACAGACATACTGGTCGACGATCTCCGTACACTTCTTGCACTTGACGAAGCAGCACCAGTGGAACTTGCAGTGGCAGCGCTCCACCTGGACGCTCTTGAACTGGTCGTAGCCACGGCCACAGCACATGAGCTCGCAGCCATCCATGCCCTCCGAGGTCTTGTTGCAGAGGCGGCCCTGGGTGCCCAGGGAGCCCGTGGTCTCGTTGCGCAGGCAGTAGTCAGGGCTGGGGTCCACGTACACCAGGTCCTCAGGGGTGGGCTGGTTGAAGCGGCTGTTGACGAGCTCCAGCTTGCCTTTGCGGGTGATGCGCATGGCGGCAGCGCTGTCATACTTCTCCTTCAGCTGGTCCCCCACCTTGCGGAACTCAGCCAGCTGGAGCCAGCAGGTCTTGAGGCTGCAGGACCCCGAGACGCCATGGCATTTGCAAGCTACGTCTGCCATCTTATACACAGCCTGGGGGGAGGGGAAAGAAGTGAATAAGAAGGAGTGTCCCTGATGGAAGATGACAAGAGGGTAGCTTGAGTGGCCACAGGCCATGTATAGCAGAGAGCTAATATGGGGAGGGGCAGGTAGTTTTTCAAATGTAGACAAAGATCTTTCCAGGATCCTCAGTCACTCAGGTTGAAAGCAGATAAAGGGAACACTGCAAAAGAAAATGCTGGGGAGGAAATGCAATAAGTTTGATCAGCTACAAGGATGACATTTGGGGCGCTTGTACTTTCTACTTTACTGTTTCTTATTACTTGAAATTATTACAATAAATGTGTCATCTTTACCATCGAGGGGGGCGGGGAGAGATATTTCTATCATGATCAAAGGCCCAAACAAGCAAATAAAATCCAGCAAAATGTGTACAGCTTTTACACGGTGTGGAGCACAAGTCAGAAAAAGAATCCAGTCAAATCACAAGCCTGTAACAGAAACTGTTGGCGTGGCCCCAGTTAGCCAAAGCTCTCTTGATTCTGCCAAATCCCCTAAGAATTAAATAGTCCCCTTTTCTGTGTTAACATTGGTCATTAAATCGATAGTCATTCGTTGCCTCACAATAAACCACATTATATCTGTGAGCAAGACTACTTTCTTCTATCCCAGCACTCCCTGACTCCCCTGGGAGAGGATGTGAGTATGGAGGTAGAGAGCTGAGGCCCGTGCAAAGTAAGAGCAAGCCGGTGGGCCTACCTATGGGGTGATGCATTTGAAAACAAATCCACCCCAGAAGTCACCGAACCACAATGATGTGGAGTGGATTTGAACTTGAGTTATCCCAAATCAAAATGTAAAAGCAAGAGTAGACCAGAAAGCTGCTTACAAAGTGCTTTTCAATGAAAGCATACTGATGCATTGTGGCAAATAACCCTGGCAGCAGGCCCAGAAGTGCAGATGGCAGGATAAAAATGCAAGCCCACTGCAGAACATTTTCTTATGCCACAGCTATTGTCACCAACTGAGTAGGGACACGTTTTTCAAGAGTTTTTCTCAGATTTCTTTTCAAGAGTCCCCAGACTGTGTCTTTATTCAGCACTATGCAGAGATCACTGCAGGTGCAAGAAATAGCTTAACCATCATCGGCTCATATAACTATTGTCAAAATGTTTCCTGATTTTTTTTCTGGTGTGGAATTATTTCCATTATTTTATGGTGGAAAAACTGAAGCACTAGAAAGCCTCAATAACCTGTTTAGGGCCACCCAGAAGGGTCTCAGAATGTGTAGCACTTCTGCAATCTAGTCTTGGGGCTTAAAAACAGCTTAGGGTGGAGAAAGAAGGCAAGCTTCTCCCTGAGGTTAAATGCACCAACACTTGGCTGGCAGCTCCAGGCTCAAGGCATAAAGGAACCGACACCCCCATTCCAACAGGCACTTCAAAGACAGAGCCTGCAATTATTCTTCTGGCACAAATCCCCAGGTCTGAGCTGGAGCCTGACATTCCTCTGGAAATGGTCCTTGGTTTAGACAGGGATGTCGGGCATCTGGCGTTGCTGGAAGGAGGAAGCATTAAGGGCCTAAAACTGTGTACCTTGCCGTTAAGTGACTAAGGGAACAGGATAAGCATCTCCACTGGGAACAAACACTTAGGGAGATTGGGGGAAAGTTTTTGACCTCACAGAGTAAGGATAGGAATTTTAGTAAAACATCCAAGAGGAAGAGTGTCGTCGACCCTCACTATTTAGACATTCCTCCCATCCTTCCTCTGGGAAGAAAGATATTGTATGGACAGCGTAGAGACATAATATTTGTACTTTAAAATATTTTATGATCGATAATATATACAAGTTCCTCTTACAGGAGAAGGGGCGGAGCATAGAACCCTAATTTTTTGCCCTTTCTGCTAACTAAAAAAGCAATCAAATGTTTAAAAAAATTTTTTTTCTAGTTCTACATCTTGCCCCCGGCAAACCCCTCTCTAGTCCTTCTTCCATTTCTATCTAATGGTGTAACTGAGCTTGGTAACCGAAAGGACTCTCACAAGGATTAAGCGGCTTTTATCTGGACATGCTTAGAAGCCCTTGAGTGACAAGGCAGTATCAACCCACTGCCCTTGCCATCAATATCTAAAATGGAGTTACTAGAAACTCTTAAAGGCCAAGAGAAATTTCTTGCAAAGTATGCCCAAGATTTACTCTGTGGGCAAGATGTCAAATCCTAGATATTTTGTTTTAAAAACAATCCGGTTGCAAAATACTACTCCAGAAAATTTTCAATCCCTGCCACCATTTAGTCCTTCCTGAGGACCTTTTTGTGCAGGTGTGAGGAGGTGGGAGGTTGAATAGCTCTGGCCTCAGATGGTGATTGATGGCCAAGGCCTGTTCCTTGGAGAGGGAATAAAAAATGGAGGGACAAGAATGCCCAACCTGGAGGAGACAGAGGCAAAGGGAGAGATAAAGGGCTCTGGAAGAGGTGTGGAACTGGAGGAAGGGGGGCCCAAAGATAGGGAGACAGACAGGGGAAGGCGTGTAAGCGAGAAACAAGGCAGATGGAAGGGAAGGTGCTGCCAAGATAAGGGCCAGTACAAACAAACAAACAATTAAGGGCAATAAAATGAGGAGCCAGCAGAAGTGGGGTCAAGACTGTGATCGAAATGGCGCCCAGATTAGGATGAATGCCTAGTCACCTCCACATCTGTCACAATGCCCCAAGGACAGCTCAGAGCAGAGACAGGAAACAGCCTTCCATGAATTTGACCTCTCTCTAGGAAGCAATATGGGAACTTCTGTCTGCATATTCACATGCTCCCACCCATGTAAAGCATGGTGAGAGTTGTTGCAAAGAAGCACACATGGTGACCCCTGTCCCTACAGCCTATAGGATGAGGTAGAGTAAGCCATACTTCAGGAGGACAAATGCTCTACTGCAGTTCTGATGCAGACACTACTACCTATGGGGGATGGTAAAGAGTTGAAGGAGTAGGTGGTATTTGAACTGGGATCTTGAAAAATGGATAAAATTTGGGCATTCAGGAGATAAAGTGAAGACTTTAACCTTTTTCACCAATCTCTCCCTATTCCTCATGGTTAGACACCAGAAGACTGGCAAATGGACTGCTGAACAGAGGGAAAGTCCTGGAGACTGAGACAGTCCCCCAGGTGCCCTCAGGGTGGTCGCCTAAGACAGTTCTGGTCTCTCTGCCCCAGTTCGTACCATTAACAACCACCGTTCAGAGCACCAACTAGAACCCCTCACACCACCACGAATTAACACCACCCTCCTATACGTGGCTAAAAACACTGGCCTCGGGATATATGATATGTAAGGAAGACACTGGGCAACTGACCAATTCTAATTTCTACTTGACATCACACTGTTCGCACTAGAGTACCACATTTTACCAAGCCAACATCGCAAGGTGCCGATTCATGTAAAACACACTTCCGATCCCATTTATTTGCTATGTACTCCTATGAAACAGAACTTAATTTTTAAAAGTTTTTAAAAGGTGATATTTAAACACCTTTGTAAAAATATATTCATGCTGAGCTACCAAATCATCAATGAACCAACATTAAATTTCTGATTTCTTCTCAAGAAACCGCTGTTCTCATTTATTAGTTAGTTCATCTTTACTCTCACTGAAGTACATTCGCCTGGGCCCCCGAGCCAGCTGACCTGGCACAGACCTGAGTGTGAACAACACTCCCAGGAAGAAATCTCTGAGAGGTCTGTGGTCCCCCGGCCCTCTGTCAGGAGAGTGGCCCACACCCGGTGCTCAGACGTCTCTACAGGCAGACCAGGATGCACGTTCCCACTCCCGTCCACACTGGGTAAGCTGAGCGAGCCCCCCAGTTTCCTGGGGCAGAGGCCTCAGAGAGCAGCAAAGGAAAGAGGAATCCAAAGCATGAGCTCAGAGGTGGGGTCTTTGTGAACAAGGTGCAGGCAGAGCAGCATCTGCCCTCCAGCACAACATAACGGCCCTCTAAGGCTGTTGCCCAGGTATGATCTGCGTGTACAATAAAGCGAGCTCACCCCAAAACCTCCATGTCAGTATCTACTGAAATTGAGGCTCAGAGACTGTCATATCTTACATAAGATTGGTAAGACTGTCTACTTGAGCCAGGATAGTTGAGGATGGTTGTCCTTCACCCTTCCACTTATGTTTAAAACTCCTAGCACACAAGTGTGTTTCCCATCAGACCTGATTGAGCTTTTAGACTGGGTTCCTGACTATGTATGACAGCAGCTCGTAAGTCAGCTCTGCTTCTACCTGAGCCTTTAAGAAATCATAAACCTTAGACCAAATCTAACAGCCTAAACTTCCAATTGTTCTTTCTGTTCGAATGATAAAGAAGGGGCAGTAGAGACAAGAATTCCACTCCCTATGCCTGGAATTCTGATCTTAAGACTGCACCTCAGCCCTATAGGGACAAATGTCCTGTGGAGAAATGAATAAGGTTAAAAAAAAAAGGTAAGTGCATGAGCCTGTTGTGAAATGGAACCTTTCAAAAGGATTAATTCAATAACATGGGCATCTAGGCCAGCAGCTGAGGGAAGAATCTCCCTAGTCAGGCTAACGCCCTTCCTCGATGGCCAGGCCAGGGCACAGAGTTCAGGGACAGCCTGAGACACCCAGGGACAGACTAGGTGGTCTGTGGTGCATGCGGAGTGTGGGGGGATGGGGCAGGGTGGAATGGGGTCCAGCTTACCCTTCGACCCGCCTCGTTGTTCTGCAGGTTCATGAGCACCCGGCCCTGCTCCTCCGATCCCTTGGCAAAGTTCTTCTCCCGCTCCCGGGCATCCACAAACTCCTTAGCAAAGCGGTAGCCATACTCCACGTTGTCCCCACAGCCACCCCACAGCCAGTCCCGGGGAAGGTCCTTGGGCCGTGCTGTCCGGCTACAGCCACATGTGGAGAGCTCGCCCTCTCGGCAAGCCCGGCTGATGGCGTTCACCACCCCCGCTGCGCTTACTGCATAGGTGAAGGCGGTCTCACGGCTCCCTGCAAGAGAAGGCAAGAGGGGTGGTGAAGGAGGGCAGCGCTCTAGAGGAGTCTTTCCTTTCCCTCAGGTTCCTCCAGACCCACACTGTCGCTTCAGCCGTCACACTCCCAGGATGGGAAACAAGGCCAGGAGGGCATGCCTTTCACTTCCCATGGTCTTGATGGTTCGAAACTTCTCTTGATTACAAGCTGATTTGCCTCCTCTGCCTTGTGGACATACCAGACTGAATGACTCCCTCCAGCCCTGGCCCACACTAACACCCATTCCAGAGAAGCTTACGTGACAGTAGATTTTTAGGAAGAAGACCAAAATGAAGGGGAGAGCGGGCATTAGGGAATTTAGAGAATTTAGGGAACACACGAGTCAAACAGAATGAGACTGTGTAGAAATCATGGACCAAGAGCAGGACTCTCGCCTCACAAAAATCTCTCCCTCACAGATGCCAAATTTTCACCACTCGATGAGCCATATATCTGTCTTTTTATTGCTGCCATTATTGAGCTAGACAGTGCGGCGGAGACCAGGAGTAGAAAGTGGACTAGAATCACTATGTCCAGGATCATCGTGCTGCCTCCCTGTCTTCCATGGGGTCCACACTGCCTCCCAACTCCAGAGCATTGGGAACCACAACTATGGGATGCTCAGCATGGTCTCTCCAAAAATCCAGATCATTTCTAGTAGAAAATCCAAACTGTGTTCCTCTTTATTGCTATAGTGAACCACTTAAAAACTCACATGACGTATGCTCTACTTCAAAAAATTTTTATAAAAAATAATACTCAGCCACCAGTGAAATGCAAATCAAAATCACAATGACATACCACTTCACACCCACGAGGATGGCAATAATAAAAAAGACAATGAATGACAAGTTGGCAAGAATAAAGAAAAACTAGAACCCTCATGTACTGCTGGTGGGAATGTTAAATGGTGCAGCTGCTTTGGAAAACAGTCTGGTAGCTCCTCAAAAGGTTAAACAGAGAATTACCACATGACCCAGCAGTTCTACTCCTAAGAATATATCCAAAATAAATGAAAACCTAATGTCCACACACAAGCTTATACATGAATGTTCACTGAAGAATTATTCATAATAGTCAAAAAGAGGAAAGAGTCCATTTTGTCCATCAGCAGATGAATGGGTAAACAAAAGGTGGTATAATCCATACAATGGAATATTATTCAGCCATAAAAAGTAATAAAGTACTGGTACATGCTACAACGTGGATGAACCTTGAACTTAGTATATTAAGTGAACCACTTAGCATTTTGTATCTGTATTGAAACTGATATAAAAGGCCACACATTATATGATTCTATTTATATGAAATGTCCATAATATGATAATTCATAGAGACAGAAAGATCAGTGGTTACCTAGGGTTTGGGGAGAAATGGAGGAGAAAGGGAGAGTGATCAGTGATGGGTATGCAGTTTCTTTATAGGGTTATGAAAATGTTCTGGAATCAGACAGTGGTGCTGGCTGCACAGTCTTGTGAATATACACTGAACTGTACACTCTTAAATGGTGAACTGTAATGGTACATGAAGTTTCCATAAAGCTCTAATAATAAATAACACTCATATGGGCTCAGGAATGAAAGGGAGGGAGTGGTTCTTAGCATGAAACTGAGATTCAACCCAGACCTATTAAACCAGGCAGAATATTCTGCTCTCCATTTCCTTCTGTCCTGCATCTCCATAGTCAGAAGTAGACATCCCACAATTCTGTCTTGGCAGGTGGAGAGAAAAGCAGTCTGCAATCATTAATAGGTCTAGTGTGATCTCCCACCTTACCTTACTTTTTGACATAGTGAAGTTTATAACCAGATCACACTGGGCAAAGCAGTTTTTCTTAATTAACCAGGGGTCAGCTTCTGGTCAGTCATGGGCTAGGAGCAGCCCAAGAAAAACCCAGATGATACAGGAAATCACACTCATGATTCAGCCCTCTGGCTTGACGTTAGAGTCGGTGCTGAACCACTGCCAGAGACCAGGGTCTATCTGGTCTAAAAGAGTCATGCTATGAGTAAGAGCCCCCAGGATGGTAAGATAGCCAAGAGGCTCTTAGCAGGAAGGGAGTCATGCCTGAAGTCATCCTAAAATGAGGCCTCAGCCCCGTGACCTGGCATCCTGGGGCAGGAAGGAGCTTCTGAAGCTGCAGTCCAGATCCACATTCCACCCACTGTAAGCATTCCTTTTACAACATTCCTCAGGGAAGCAGGTTGGGTTCTCAAGGCGACCCATTCCATCTTTTCCTAATGGCTCTAAATCACCAGAACGTTCTTTCTTGTATTAAGCTTAAATAAGACTCCTTATAACTTCCGACTGCTGGAGATACACTGGCTAATCCTTTCTCCCTCTGACGGCCCTTCAGTATTTGAAAACAACTAATATGCCTTTTATGTGTTCTCTTTTCCAACCTACATATGCCTGATTTCTTCTTCCTTTCTTTAGCAAAAATGCTATTCAGAGCTGAATCACCTCTCCCAGAATTGCCTTTTAAAATAGTGTACCTGCAGCTGAGCAAAATACCGCAGATATTATGTGCTCTGAAGGTTGTCGCCTATCAGCATGGTTTGGAATCCCAATCTGTCCTCAGGTGAATTAGCTGTCCTTTAAAATCATTCTGCCTGTTTTGGTCAAGGACATCATTAGGCCTTAGGTGCAAGCAGCTCTGCCTTTATGGGGCAGCATTTGGGTCTTTGGTAAGCCTGGTAGGCGCAGACTTCTAGTGCTACTCTCAGCGAGCAAGAAATAACTTGGGGTTTCAGAATGGATAAGCAATGCAGAGGAGGGGAGGGGTTTGTATATATAAAACAGTTCAGAGTGGAAGCTCAAACCATCTCAAGGATGAAGGCTAATAAACCAGCAGCCAACGAGATACTAGAGAGACCCTGCTCTAGTAGGACAACAGGAGACAGACAGCAGGGCAATATCATGCCCTCTCTGTTCCAACTACCATGCCTCCATGCTCCTCTGGGTGGAGGCTGGGTGAAGCGCCAATAGCTCCCTCTGAGCTGCTCTGCTGCCCTCTGGTGGTGGACTTTTGCAGCCGATCTAAAGAATGAGGGAATCTTAAAGTTACACATAAGATAGCAGCAGTAAGAGGACTCACCAGGAGCTAGCTAGCTGGGCCCAGGGGAAGGAATGGAGGACAGCTTCCCAGGTAGCACAAACCCTCAGGGAAGCTTCAAAAAGGTTACAGTGAAAATAAAGCAAACAGGAGGGTTCCATTTGTAACAGAGTAGGGTACAGAATGGGGTCTGCTTTCACAAGTCATTCCACCATGCAAATCTGTACCCAGCGGAGTTTCTATTCCTGATAACCCTTTTCTTTCTAAAGTAAAGCCTCACTTTTTGAGCCTTCACTCTAACGGAACGACACATGGAAAGGTTCTAGCCAACGTCGGGCATACATTAGGTTGTTCCCTTAAAGCGATCAGGGGTGCCTCTCTCTACGGGCCATCCTAGTGTCCTCCCCAGGGCAGGGGATGCTACCGACCAAGACTTTTATCAGGAGGAAGGGACAGATACACAGTGTATTTGAGAAGAATTGATAAATTATGAAGAAGTGTCCCACCTAACCCCCAGGTCCATTCTTTTGGGAAAGCCGCCCAGTAAGACTATCATGGGGACACACGAGCACTCCTTTTATGGACCTTGAGTTGATATCAAAGGAAGAAAGAGAGAAGCGTGGCTCAAAGTGTACTTTACCTTGGTCCTTACTGCTCATTCTGGGGCAGGGGAGGTAGGGGAACAAGGTCAGGAGAGGAAGGGGCCCTTCCAAGTATCTATAACAGAGGAGCACGGATCTCAACTCCTTAACTCCTCTGCTGCTAAAATCATTGGCAAAACCCCAGCCTCTAGCAACTCCAGAATGTCCATTGCCTTTTGAGAAGAACATGTTTTGAGGGAATGTGAGACAGGGAATACAGTGCTCTAACACCTTCCTTTTATGACTCTGGGGATAAGACCCAGTAGAACAGGGCCGGATTTCTCAATTTCTTGCAAGGGAGAGGAGAATTGCATTTCAAAAGGACCTAAAACAATTAGACCCCAGATCACACCTCATCTAAGCAATAGGGTGGCCAAAGAATCCCAGCCCAGGAGTGAGAGAGGGGAGAGAACAAGAATCTGGAAAGAGGTGGCCCTCTCGTTTTCTTCTTGTCTGTCTCCTTCCTTCACTTTCACATACACCCCCTTTCAGATGAAAAGCCAGGAATGCATCTGGGTCAGGTCAATGGCAGCTATCATTAATTTGGCCCAAAGTTTCTGATCTCTTCAGGGTCCAAGTAGAAGAGGCAAAAAGCCTACAGACATTCAGGGCAAAGTTCTCAAAGGAGGCCCTGTACTGAGACAAAGGGCACTGGTGGTGGGCGGGTTTCCCAATTCACTCTAACTCAACTCAGATGGTCTAATCCCTTCCCAGTGAGTCACATGCAGGCTGCCCCAGACAGGGTGAAGCTGGAAGCACTGAGCTGTGCGGCTAACACATCATCTGAGACTGCACTTCCTGTGTGCATCTCCCTCTCTCCTTGCACACCGCTTCCAAGTCTTGAGAGAACCCACTTAGATATTCAGGTGGGCCTTCCCTGTCCCTGAGAGAGCATGCTTGCTCCCAGGCCAGGTGAGCAGAGTCCCTTTAGCCAAGTCATGCCTTGGTGGCCGCTTACCTATCTGCATGACCCTCCCAAAGACAGACGTGTTGTCCACGGTGCTGCAGTTCCACCGCCTCTGCCGGAACTGGTACTGGCACTCCTTGATGCCTGTCTTGGCTCCCTCCCCTATGTAGGCCATGTGCTCCTGGTACAACTGGCACAGCTTTCTCTGGCCAGGGGAGAGCCCAGGAAGCTGGCTGCACACAGGCTGGGCACCGATGATGAACATCTCAGGTCTCTGCACCGGGTTCATAGCTAACGACCTACAGCAGCGATCCAGAAAGGGGAAAAAGGCCAAGGCGTGAGCAAATGCCTGTGTGCAGCAGTAAGTCATTCATTCAACACATTTACTGAGTGTTTTCTGTGCACAGGGCCCTGTACTAAGGGCTTGGAAAGGAAAATTGAAGAAACTGAGGCACAATCACAGATGACATGCAAGATGTCAAATGCCTAAGACAACTTGAGCTTCTGGATCCAGAGTGATCAGATAGCTGGGAAGAAGTTAGAAAGAGATGGCCAGAGTGTGAGCTGGGTCTTAAAGGATATGGGGCAGAAGGAGAAGGCGGCAGAGAGGGCAGGTTATTCATCTGAGGCAGAGGGCAGAAAGAGCCATGACTTATTCACTTTGGCCCAAGTGCAGGATATGTGATGGAAAGCAATAAATTCCCTTAAATAGAACGCCCCTTATGTCTTTAAAATCGAATCAAATTTACATCTGTAACAATATATTCTAAATGTTTTCACTTCCATATCTGACCCTCACAACCCCTAACACACTCTTTGTCAGCTCAGGGGCTCTCCCTTTTGCTAATCATCCACCAGATGTAATAAAGTGTTAAGTTAGATGAGAAGGCTGTACATTTGCCATCTGAGTAAAAATGCGAGCAGGACACAGACCGTACAAAACAGGTGGTGAATGCCTGCCATTTCCATGTTGACTTGGTAATTACAATAGTCTCAAAAATACAAAAAAAAAGCCACACGTGGTCCTAGAAATTCCTCATCTGGTCTTCAGACTTATAAAACAGGAATTCTATTCTCCTTGCCCCCACCAGCAAAATGAACGAATGAATGAATGAATGGATAGATAGATAGATAGATAAATCGATTAATCAATCAATCAGTCAATCAATCAATCCAATAGCAACAAAAGAGTTATTTCTAGTCACCCATGGGAATGGAAGAAGAGCCAGAAAAAGGAGGATGTAGACAGGATTAGAGAAAAAGCCAAATGAACTAATCTTTTATCCTTGTGGAACCTTACTTCTGGGGGCTCGAGAGAGAAAAAGGCCGTCCTAGTTTTCCTGGGATAAAAGAGGTCCGTAGGATTCCTATAAATAAAGGAATGATCACGACGCATTGTGACCTTCTCCACATTTCAATTACCAAAGGAAGCGTAGGTTGTAGAGTAGGACTTCAGCCCCTCTCACTCACCACCAGGAGCTGGCTTCGGCTGGAAGCTGAGCCCAGCTGGAGAGCAATGCAGCAGCGAGCAGCAGCAGGCCGGGCATGGTCCGCCTCAGCCCTCCCCAGTGTCCTGGGAAGACCTCAGGGACTGCCGGCTTCCAAAACTGGGCACCCTGAGAAAACAGAAACAAAGGGAGAATCAATGTGGAAATGTGACATAGGAGAGGACCAGGAGACAGGAGAGTGAGCTCTGAGATGGATCTAATGCCACTTTCTGCTCCTCCAAAGAAATTCAGCCTCTTTCCAGCCTCCATCTCCTATTGCTCATCTTCTCACCATAGGACTGACTGTCTCGTTGTCTCTTACTCCAAACAGTGAAGACCCTATTCGGGGACCTAATTCCAAAGGAAACAATGAGCGGAGAAACTAGAAGAAATGAAAGCAAACCACTTTAAGAACAGAGGTTGCTCTATGCAGCATTTAGGAAGAACTTCAGCTGTTGCAATGCACACCTGCCCCTCTTCCAGAAACGAGAACTGTCCCGTCGCCCTTCCCTTTACCTCTCACTCCAGCCAGAGATGGATCTGTCGGAGTGCCAGGCTCTCTTTTGTGGGGCTAAAAAACAATTGGTGAGTTGGACTGACATCCGGCCACACAGGAGTCTTCCCTTTCAGTCTGTACCCTCTCCCTCTCAATCAGTATCTTTCTCACTCTAAACAAGTTTTCCAAATCCCGACCATTGTTTACCGGGAATAATAGTTGGGAGAAGGGTGAGGACTTTTCACTTTCTCAAGGCAACTTCTCTGATAAATGGAAAATCCCTAGAGCCACCTCAGGCCCCTAAAGCTCTGGTGGCTGGGGCAGTACCTTCGATGGCCCTCAGCCCATCCTCTGGGCTCAGGGGCCCTGTGTCCCAGCAGCACAGACAGCAGCAGTGGGGGCACCACCAGCTCCTGCTCTGCAACCCTTGCTTCACAGGTCTGTGCTGAGGATGAGTCTTCCAGGAGCAACAACCCCTTCCCTTGTAGCAGGAGAGCCTCCCACATCTTTGCTTCAGCTTTTTTTAACTACCGCCTATGCCTATAGCCCCCAAGAACACCTTTCCTTCAGCCCTTGAAAATATATGGAAAATCTTGCTTCTGGATCCTGGAGCAAGTCTATAAAAGCACGCCCCCTCTGGTTCACCCTCACCTCGTTGCTCCCTTAGCTGCCTTCCAGGGCGTGACCCCACAGCTCCAGTGAGCCTTCTTCCCACGATCCCTTTACACCTCCAACCTTACACACGCAAACACACACTCGCATGGCTCCCAGAGCCCCCACCCCCATCTCACCGAGCTGTCCCCACAGTTCTGGGTCGCTGGGCTCTCCGGGAGGGGTTGGCAGGTGCTTTGGGTCATCAGCCTGGCAGATATTTTTTGTCCTGGGGCCACCAAGACAGGAAGGTGGCCTGAGTAGGATCCAGAGAAGCTGGGCCACAGCCTGTCCCCACCCCTTTTGGCTTTTCTTCTTGTGGTCTTAGCTGGGGCGGGGGGCACCAAAGGCAGGTGTGCGGGCCGGCAGGGGGCAGATCAAAGAAGAAACTTGCTCCTTCTCCTTTGTGATGCAGAGCCAGCTCGGAAATGATCGGGTCTCTGGCCGGTCGCCTAACAACTCCCCATACGCTACTTTCCTAACAGACCTCCCCTCCTCTAAAGGATGCCCCCTCCCCCTCTAACCTCTACCCCCCATAAATCCTCCCTGTCCCTCAGGGCAGGAGGTCTGTGAATGCACCGACTGGAACCAAGAGAGATGGAGCAGAGATAGGGCTGGCACCAGAAGCTAATGGCTTTATGGAGGGGAGGGGACCAGGTCCAGAGTAGGGAAGAGGAGAGAAAAGCTTCAAAGAGTTTCCTTGTCCAAACATCCTCAGCTCCACCTACCAGTGCTTCTTGGGGACTCCAGTCAGAGTTGCCCCTTCTCCCTGTGGTCCTTCTCCCTCCCCACACCCTCCCTCCCATCCGCATGGCCATCCCCACCACCAAACCCCCTACTTCCACCCAACACACATCCTCACACATTTCCACGCCAGATAGCTGAGTTTTCTCCAGCTGGTGACACTTCTTATCCCCATGGATTCCCCCCTCACACTGCGTCTCTCACTTCTGTCACACCCTTTCATTGGGTCCCTGTAAAATCTCTCTGGCTCTGCAGGTCCTAGGTTCAACCGAGGCCACTATGGGGGGCCACTCTTTCTGATCCAAGGACAGGAGGCAGTGCCTGCTAACGGTCACTGTGGCTTTGACTCTCCAGCGCCAGGCTGACAGGCGAGCTAAGGCCAAATTTCCCAAGAGCTGCTAATTCGTCCCCTGGGTGCCTTCCAAACCTAAACGGAGACAGGATCCCTCCCAGCAGCGGTTCCCACTATCCTGTGCTTTCCATCAAACTCTCAGCTCATTAGAAAAGATTTTTTTTAAACTTAAAAAAAGAGAAAAAAAAATTAAAAAGACTGTAGCATGTGTGGTGGCTGCTTTCTCTGCCTTCCAGATGTGCGGCACCTTCTCTTGGCAGGCAGATGTGAGCCACTCCTCTGAGTGGTCACAGAACCAAAGTAGGACAGCCGTCTGCCCTCATCTATGTTCTTTGATTTCCTCGTGCAGGGCTGGAAGGAGAAAGCTGAATGTTGGAGATTGGTTTCATTAGCATGGGCAGAATGGAGACTTCTTGCCTCAGCTGGACAGAGGAGGAAGGAAGCTGTGTGGGAACTGATGATTTGTTCTTAATGAGTAGGATACATTAGAAGCCCTGTTTGTGGGTCACTGGTGAGTTTTATAGCAGGACTCAACCAGAGGAAGCTGTTCTTCACATGGCAAGAAAGATCTAGTAAATATCCAAAAGGCAGGGAGAGAGAATTTCTTCCACTGCCTTTGTAATAACTACAGATTTCCCCCCAAAACTGAAGAGTTTCTCTTTCCTGAGAGAGATGAGAGTCATTTTAGACACACCAAACACAGCTGAGTATGAGAAAATCCAGGGTTTCTCTTCTTTGGTAGTGAGCAGGAGGTTGCAGAGGTTGATGCAACACTCTCCAGCAGGACCCCTCTAGAGGGCCAGAGTAGGCTGGTCCAACATACCTGCTCTGCTTCTTCATTCAGTCTTTCATTTATCCAATAAACTCGTTAATCAAATATGCCTTAGGGACCTTCAGGTACCAGTAACTGCTCTAAGTGCCAGAGATACAGCAGTGAACAAATAAATATACAACTGACCCTTGAACAAGGTGGGGTTTAGGGGTACCAAACCCCCATGCAGTCAAAAATCTGCATGTAATTTTTGACACCCCCCTGCCAAACATAACTACTAAAAGCCTACTGTTAGCCGGAAGTCTTACTGATAGCATAAATAGTCAATTAACACACATTTTGTATGTTATATATGTTATATACTATATTCATACAATAAAGTGAGCTAGAGAAAATGCTATTAAGAAAATCATAAAGCTACAGCTATGCCACCCTGAATGTTCCTGATCTTGGAAGCTAAGCAGGGTCGGGCCTGGTTAGTACTTGGATGCGAGGCCACCTAGGAATGGATGATAGACAAAAATGTGGGAAGGTCACCTACAAAGTATCTCAAGGAATATCACCTAGAGAAAGCCGAGAAAAGAAAAGAAAGAAAGAAAGAAAGAAAGAAAGAAAGAAAGAAAGAAAGAAAGAAAGAAAGAAAGAAAGAAAGAAAGAAAGAAAGAAAGAAAAGAAAATCATAAGGAAGAGAAAATACATTTACAGTATTTTTTGAAAAAAAAATCCATGTATAAGTAACCTGTACAATTCAAACCCATATTTGTTCAAGGGTCAATTGTATATGTTAGGTCCAGACTACTACTATAAGAAAAAGTGGGGACAAGAATCAAGAAAAAGGGGTGAAAGCTTACCTTATTTTGAGTCCTTGAGGAAAGCTACACTCTGAAATATCTGTCCTCCCTACCTCTCTCCAAACCACTATGAAGATGGAAAGCAGCAGAGGTCTAACCCTGCTACACATCCCGGACCCCTCTGTGGCACACCCAGGGTCCTTATGGAGACGACACTGCCCAGCTTTACCATCACAACCAAAGAGGTACATACTTGAAAATAGGAGCTCCAGGTTCTCTCCCTTTTTCTAGTTGGACTCAGTCACCAATTTTCATTCCCTTAGCGGGCCATGGCCATCCAGCACAGGGACAGGAGACAAGGGAGAGAGACTTGGACAAGTGGAGCTAAGATCCAAGCAAGTCTGTTAAAGGGGCATCTCTACGGTTTCCACACACACTTCAGACCGTGCCTACACTGAAAACCTTGACCCACAGGGCAAGGGCTTGAAAAGGTCTTTAGCTGCTCTGCTCACAAAAACCACTGGGTATGCAGCATTCAAGCAGCTTATAAATCCAACAGAAAATGGTGTCCCATCCTATACCTGTCCCCCTGCCCCAGACAGGCACCCTCACATCTAGAAACATACCAGGAAATAACCAAGACTTTTTTTTTTTTAAGTTATATTTTTTTAATGACAAATGGCATTAACTTTGGGCAAAATGTGACCATAAATAAAGACCACTGGGTGATAACTACCAGAAGTAATACCAGACAGAGGATTACTCACAAAAAGAGAAATTTTCAATAGAAAACTGAATATTACTTGGGGGACAAACTTAATATTTTATTGTTAAACAACTGGAGCAAAATACTAGATATGCTATAAACCATTGCCATTGGCTAATTCTTACTAGATGACCCAATGAAGAGCTACTACCATTTGCAACTTCGTTAACATCCCTGGTGAAGCAGACAATCTCAGTGGTCTTTGGAAAAGAAATGCTTCCCTTTGTGAACTCCTGGCTGCACTGCTGTCAAGCATTTGCCTGCTGTTGGATGGTTTCTGTGGCGGTCGGGCAGGTAGAGTTGGAGCTGGAATGACAGAGCTGTCATCACAGCCTTCTCTCCCCTTGGCCACTTCTTTTCTACCACCACAAAGAATAGAGAAAGACTCTTTATGGATCTTGACAAATACTTCCTAAAGGGTGTGTCAGGTTCATGCATTTGCTTCTCTATTTTCAAGTAGGTGCTCACCCTCCTTACACCTGAACAGTTCTTTGTGGTCTAACCCACATAGCTGCAACACGTTTTCTTAAAATATGAATTGTATATCATGACAGTCC